CATTCAAATATTGCGGTAATTTAAGAAAATTAAATAGTCGGAAAAACAAACTTACCAATGCACTAGGCATATGCTTAGGCATTTTGGCTCAGCTCACATTCACTAGCTACATGTAGCTAGCCTTCAAGGCTAGGCAAAATGTATTTAATTACTAAGATTATTTCCCTCCATCTTTGCTGCTAACGTGGCATTCTATAAAGTTAATAGTATTTGGATGAATAGCTAAAATAAAGAGCATGGTTAGAGTAGAAACATGAAATCGTTGACAGACAAAATAAAATATATACTTTATAGTAATATTAAAATGCCTACTACCATTGAAGATGCTCTAACACATCTATTATATCACCATTCATTCACTATTCACTCACTGAATTAACAAACTCTTAACACATATTTTTGAATCTTATTTTTAACATTTTTTATCATATAAACACACTTTAACACATTGATTGTGAATTCCCTTACATCCCTAATAACTTAGGGCCGGCGCTGATAATGATGGGAAATGTCCCTTTCCTCCAACTTTTCTTGGCAATCATGCAGCATAAACAACTATATGTAACTGTTTCTGTGTTTGTCATTATTTTCATCAATGAGATAATTACAACAAAATTTGACATAATTAAAAAAAAAAAAAATTTACAAATAAAAAGATTATCCATAAATTATATTTTCAGAATAATGTATTAATAATATTGTTTTTTGAAAGAAAAATACTATTCATACATAATTTTTATATAAAATTTTCCAAAAATGATATTCTTGCAAATTTTTATATATAAAATTCTTGATTAGAATGATATAATAGTAACACTTTTAAAAATATAAACTAAGTTGATGGACCTTTTAGTGTAAAATGATAAAATTAGAGCTAGTCTTATTATTTGGTATTAATTTTTTGTATAATTTTTCTATTTATATAACACTAAAATTTATCGTCAGAATAATGTGAGGGGGTAAAACTATAATTAAATGGTATTTGCATGAAAAGTTTATTTTAAACTGAAAATTCTCAATGTCACGTCTAGATATATACTTCTTTATTTATATATCATTATTCTTAATTATGGAGTGTTTTAGTTAGAAATAAAATAATAATAAAAAATTTATATAATTTCATGTAAAAATTATGTATAAAAAATTTGTTGGTTATTATTACTCTAATTTTTTTTTTAATTTTCATTTTCTCAACAAAATAAGTCTTTACTACTTCCTTTTTAACCTATAATCCATAACTAGAGTAAGATGGTTTTTCCATTTTGATGGTTCAAAGTAAGATTTTTCAATGTCACATCTCAAATATCACAAATTATTCTTAAATGAGAAATTTTCAAAATAAATTAGAGTAATCAAATGTAGCTGGATTATGACATACATTATTGGTTGTCAACCAGTCCTAATCGACAGTAAAAACTAAATTATAATGTAACTTGATCATTATCATTCGTATCTTACCAAAGTACACATCTTGAGGTGTTTACTACAAAATTCTCTTAATTGATTACAACCGAAAAAAAGAGAGAGAGAAAACCTAACCAAAATTAAGTAAATGATAGGCTATTTTTTAATATTTGGAGAAATTACAAAAAAATCTCAAAATTTGATTTTTATAACAAAATAAATTCTGAACTTTTAATTTTGTCAATTTAAATCACATATTTTTTATTTGTCTTCAATCTAAATAATTTGCTTATTTTGTTTAAGTAAAATCAACCGAAAATAATATTTTATTTATTAAACTCAATAAAAAATGATATTTTAAACATTTTATATATATTTACATTGAGTTTAATGACTAAAATATTATTTTTTCATTGGTTTAGTTTAATAAAAATAGGTAAATAATTTAAATTAAAAACAAATCAAAAGATTAAATGTGTGCTGGGGGGGGGCGCGGGGGGCGTAGTTGTCCCTTTATATTTTCTTCCCACTCACTGGATAGGGTTGTAAACTACACTAAACATTTCAAATCTTGGAACTATTGGAGATTTGTTTGATTATTAATTTCAGGATTTTGAGATTAGTCGAGATGTATGTAAGTTAATTTGGACATCTGATTATCAAAAAAAAATGATAAATTATTTAGTCCAATGTTATTAATGATTTTACAAATACATAAAGTAGGTGTTTGGGAAATGGGTTTTTTTGTAAGTTTTTTTAGTTGTAGGATATTATTGAAGAAATTTTTTTTTTTTGTTTAGGAATATAGTTACTAGATTTTTTTGTGATTGGATGTGATGTTTGTGAGAGAAAAAGTGAAATGATTATGGGGTTTGATGTAATATTTTGTTTGGATTGATTTTTTTTGGTTTTGTAAAATATTTGTCTTGTAATAAAAAAAACAAAAAAAAAAACCTAAAAATCAACTTGCCAAACACCATCAAAATAAAATTAATTCAGTGTAAGTTTAACAAATTAATTAACTTAATATTCAAACAACAAAACCCCCCCCCCCCCCCCACACCCCCCCCACACACACACAAAAGAACAACAACAAAAAAATAGAAAATTTTGTGCAATTCGGGTTTAACTTGCGGGGTTGGATTTAAGTCAACAATCTCGGTTACAATTCTGATTTTGGCAGCCCTATACAGCTCTTAGCACAATTCGAATTAGATTTAGACAATCTTTCAAGCCGTTCAAGTTGGACTTGTGATCAAGTATAAATTAGTATTATGTGCGTGTAATATTTTTTTTTATCCAAAATGTATTGTCCATAAACCAAATGATGTATTAAGTAGTGAGTTTATTACTTTTAACATCAAGAAATTCCATAATATGTATTGTATTTTAAAAAAGATAAGATGTTTTAGTAAAAACAATTCTCAAACTATTTTTCATATTTATTATCGAGTAGACTATAAAATCTGCTTGCTGTTATTATCATTGTCTCTCTATTAATTTTAAAATATTATAGACAATTATAATTTATTCTCATTCTAAACTTGAGATTATTCTTTTATATTTTAGGGTAAATTTTGTTTGGTCTTTTTTTCATCTCGCATCAGTTTACTACTATCTAGAAATTTGTACCCCCCCCGGCGGGAATCAAATCAAAAGCATCTTGCATGGAACACGAGGGAGGTGAAATGGGCATTTTAGTGAAGAAAAATGTTAGAAATACCAAGAATTTTATTAATATTTTTATGAAATGACTCACATGATTATAAGATATATTCTCATGTGAAACATTTATGTAGAATTCAAATTCATGTGAGACAAATAGTAATTTTTTTATATTGTATTTGGTTAAGGAATTTGAGAAGAAATTTAAAAAAGAAAACGGAAAATATATGTGAAAATAAATAAAATATAGATATATATTATTTATATTTTACTTACATTTTTCATTTTCCTTTCTTAGTCTCTTCTCAAATTTTTCATCCAAAGACAGCGTTAGCCTCTCTATCATTGCCCTTTAGTGTATCCCAATCTTTCTGATGCGGCCACATATTATTGGTCTGTCAGAAAATAATGTCACGACATATTGTTAGGGATTGTTTGCGATGTCCTAAATAAGTACACTTTTTAACTTTTTAGATTAAAAAGTTGAGGAAAAAAATATGGTTGTTTGGGTTAACTTTTTGACTTTTTATTGAAAAATGTGTATTAAAAAATCGTATAAATTAGTGTGTAGAAGAAAATTAGGATTGAGAATTATGCAGCCGTAATTTTTGACTTTTGATGAATAGTGATAACTTTTTAACTTTTTGAGTAACTTTTTGATAACTTACCAAACTTGACCTTAATTTGTTGAAAAAAAAAATGTCCCTATAAAGAAATATTGTATATAATATACCGTTCAATTACTCTGCGGCATTATCAAATATTTTTTATCAATAAAAGATCACTATGACCATTTTCAACATAGAATCAAATATTTCATTAAATTTAAATAAATTTTAATAAAAAAATTAATTTAATATCGTTTACTCTAATGCTAAAACTAAAATTTTTATTTAATTTTTTCACATCTTTCGATTGTTTGAGAGATCTTCCGGACATAAACAAAAAATCTGTCAAAATTACTCATGGTGGACATTCGAGTGGACATCCCGGAGGATTTTCTTTTTTTAGGTCTAAACCACCGGTATCCGGAAGTCCATTTAGAACCCCGACTAATCCGGTTTGAGCCGGGTAGGATCACAAGGGCAGCAAAGCTCTCCTAACTAAGTTTTAACACAGCTGTGTTCCCAAGTCTCGAACCCGAAATCTTGGTTAAGCTAGCATAGCCCCTTACCAGCTAAGCTACGTGCTTGTTGGTATCCCGGAGGATATTTGAGTGGACATCTGGCCTAATGTTAAATTTAAATTTGATAAAAGATGAAAGATGAAAGGCTCACTTCATTTAATGAAAGTTTTAGTTTTACCTTTATTTGATATGAATTTAGTGAAAGGGTTAGAGCATCTCATTTGATGCATTTCATATAATTTCAAATTTTATGAAGTATCTCAAGTTGGATTGGAGATGTTCTAACACATTAAATTCGCTAGTGCTATATCCCATAATTTTTTCCCTATAAAAACATCCTTCACAATTTGTAACCGGTACGAATTTAACCACTCACTTTATGGTGATAAACTCTTACCGATAAAAAATTGTGAAATGTGTTTTTATACGATAAATTTATGAGAATAAATCATTTTCTTATTAAATTTATCATTTTTTACAATTTTTTTCGTACTAAATAAGAATAAGTTAATAATTCTCAATTGATACTTTAACATTTGAAAAAGAAAAAAATAAAAAATAAGTAAAATGTGTGTGAAATATAATTATATTATATTATATATATATATTTTTATTTCTAAATCTTTTCTAAAATCAACAAATAAAAAACGACCTCAAAAGAGAAATTACCAATAATTTCTAAAAATTATAATAAATTTATAATTTTAATTATTAAGAATTATAATATATTAATTATTTACAATTATTTTTTTCAAAACACCACTGCCCCATTATTTGTCCTATAAATTCATGATTGTCACTTTTTACTAGTCCAAACCCCTTCAATAAAGGCCTCCATTACCATTTTATTTGATCAGCTCTCCCACCACCACTCTCACCACCACCTCTGCGACCGCCGCCGCCATCACCACCACCTCCATGGCCGCCCCAAAAGGAGGTGGATATCCAAAGATGGAATCTTCAAGGAATGATATTCACCAACCCATGCTTCAACACCTACCCATTCTAACACCAGAAGAACCATCGGAAAATCGCATCGAATATAGTAGCGGAGAACTTGAGAGAGTGTTGTGTGACGGAAGCGTGCCGCTCTGGCAGCGTCTCTGGCAGGCCACGTGGATTGAATTGAAGCTGTTATTCTTCTTAGCAGCCCCTGCTGTGATTGTTTATTTGATCAACTACTGTATGTCCATGTCAACTCAAATCTTCGCCGGCCACTTAGGCAATCTTGAGCTCGCTGCTGCTTCACTTGGCAACAATGGCATCCAAATGTTTGCCTATGGTCTCATGGTACTTGCCAACCACTTCTCTCTCTCTCTCTCTCCGTGTGTGTTGATAAATAAACAATAATGCTAGGTATCATGAAGGAAGTATCATGAAAAGTTTTCATGAAGATTCTTTATTCTCTTCTTGAATTAGTTTGTAGTGTTTGTAGTATTTTATTGTATGTTATACAATTACTCTTAAATCAGTTTCATAAAACTTTTGATGACACTTCTAAAATGATTAGATTGTGTAGAACTGAAAAAAAAAAAGGGAAATATTGTACGTAATAACAATTTTTTAAAGTAAATTTTCTCACTAATAGATGTGTTCTATAATAATAATGACATATTGAAATTTAAAATAGAATTTACTTTAATTATGTGGTATGTGTCAGATAAGTTAAAATATGTATTAGCTTATCCCATTAATAAAAGAAGCATGGATTTAGACTCTTTTCATTAGATGATTAGAATAGAGTTAGTATAAGCTTGCAACACATCATTAAAAATAAAAAATCAATAGTTTAGAATTGTTAACTGAACCCATCAAAAAAAGAAAAAAATAAAATTTGTAAGTGAATTTGAGTTTTGAATTTAAAATGGAGGATGTGTTCAAATAAATAAAAAAAAAATTAAAATGGAGGATAGATTTTTAAATTTTTTAAAAATATCGTAAATTTTTATTACACTTATTTTCATGAAGAATGTATAATATTTTAAAATTTTTTACCATATATTCTTAACACATTCATAATATCCCTCAAGTAATTTTAAATTTAAAACAAAATTATGTTAGATGTAAATATTTCACAACCATTTATCTTGAATTCAATTTGTGTACACTATATGTTTGATTAGAATTGTTGAATCACATACAAATAAATACATAAAGTAAATGACAAATGTAAAGCAAGCGAATCTAGCTAGGGAAATCAAAGAATCTTTTCATTTTTCAATGATGTACGCAGGAATCGAAAAGAAAAAAAAAATTGGGAGTTTTGATTGTGGAGCTTTAATGGTGTGTGGGTGTTATAATGATGTGATGTTTGTATCTTGTGTGTTTGTTTTTTTTTTTTTTTTTCCATTGTCAAGTCATTAGAGCTAAAATTAAAAGGATGTATCATTTTTGATACGTAAAAATAGAAACAAAATGGGAAAGAATAACTCTATGGTCGAACACAGCCTGTCTTGCATACGGATCGAAAACAGCCAATACAAAAAAAGAATTGTTATAAAGATTCTCTCTAATAATTGACTGTCGTGTGTCATTTTGATTTTAAGGCCTAGTTTGGGATCTACTATATAATCCATCTTTTTATCTTTTTATCTTTTTTCTATCACATCACCTCTCTACTTTTCTGCACATCTTTTCGTAAAAAGACAAAAAGTGCACTTTTTTAGGACACCCCAAACCAACCCTAAATATTCAAATTGTGTTAATTTAATTTTTAATGTTTAAATTGTGTCAATTTTATTTATAATATATAAAAGGTGTGTTTTTATACTTATTATTGATTTTAATGGCATTTATTAATGGAGTTAGATTTGGGGACTATGAGAAGTTAGTTACAAGTTAATTTTTTAATTTTTTTTTTTGTGACTTTTTGTGGCCTTTTTAGCTTAAAAAGCTAGTTTTTCGTGATTTTTTATGATTTTTTTCACTAAAAAATTAAAAAACTAAAAAGCATTTTTTTTATGAAATTTCCAAAATATTCCTAAATTAAAATATTTTTTTATATATTGAGAATCAAACTTACATAATTTAAACGTTAATTACTAACCTGAAACATTTTCTGTATAGTGGGGATCAATTTGTTAGGATTTCATACATAATGATTATAATGATTTGACCTAGTGGTTGTGTGGTGTAAACTTATGGGTTGCGGGTTCAACTCATATTACGGGAAAAAGGAGGTTGATGCTCTTTGTTAATGGGTTTTTTTTTTATCTTTCTTTATTTTTTATTATGAGAGTTGTACGTAAATAGTGGTTGTTGGACTTAAGTTTAGTAATTAATTATTACGTAGGCTCTAATTTTCTAATTATTTTTTGCTAGTGATTTGATTGATCATGAAATATTCCTTACACTTATAATTATTCTTTGATTAACAATATAAATATAAATATATATAGATATAATTTTTATTAAATTTGTAATTATCTTCCACAGATTGAAAAATAAAACCCCCAAGTATGGGGACTATTATGCACATAAATATTTTGGCCTATTCTGTAAAGTAGGTTAAGGGCAAGTTTGGGATCTCTCAAAAAAGATAAAAGACAGAAAGTTACTTAAAAAGTTAACACTATTTACCAAAAGTCAACAATTACGGCTGCACAACTCCCAATTCGAATTGTTCCTTACAAATCAATTTTTACAATTTTTTATTACATATTTTTCTATAAAAAGTCAAAAAGTTAACCCAAACATCTATATTTTCAACCTCAATTTTTTAGTCCAAAAAGATAAAAAGTGCACTTATTTAAGACACTCCAAACAAACCCTAAATGTTAGTTTTTTGATTTTTTTTTTGATTTTTTTTTTTAAAAAAATGTAAAAATAAATAGATCACGTGATTTAAAAAAAAAAAAAAAAACTAACAAACTGACATTTAACCCAATTATTAAAATAAGCCTTCATTTGCCCTCCCTAGACAAAAGGCATAATAAAAGCATCACTCATTTTAACTTCACAATTACTAAAATTTTACTTTTTTAAAAAATTGTTTTTACTTCATAAGTCTCATCATTTCATTCAAATGTGCAGCTGGGTATGGGCAGCGCAGTTGAAACTCTATGCGGACAAGCATACGGAGCACACGAATACGAAATGCTCGGCATTTACCTTCAAAGATCAACCATCCTCCTCACTCTCACCGGCTTCGTCCTCGCTTTCGTCTACATTTTTTCCGAGCCCATTCTCGTATTCCTCGGCCAATCCCCCGACATTGCCTCTGCCGCTGCCCTCTTCGTCTACGGCCTCATCCCCCAAATTTTTGCCTACGCTGTAAACTTCCCAATCCAAAAATTTCTACAGGCACAGAGCATTGTGACGCCCAGTGCATACATATCTGCAGTCACATTAGTCCTCCACTTGATACTGAGCTGGTTGGCTGTGTACATGATTGGGCTTGGGCTTTTTGGCTCGTCACTAGTGTTAAGTTTGTCTTGGTGGATTATTGTGATAGCCCAGTTTATTTATATTGTGAAGAGTGAGAGGTGTAAGTATACGTGGGCTGGGTTTAGTTTACAGGCCTTTTCGGGCCTGCCGGAGTTCTTGAAGTTGTCCGCAGCGTCGGCGGTGATGCTGTGCTTGGAGTCGTGGTACTTTCAGATTCTTGTTTTGCTGGCTGGGTTGCTTGAAAATCCTGAGTTGGCTTTGGATGCTCTCTCTATCTGGTAAGAGATTTTTTTTTTTTTTTTTTTTTTCCAAGTTCATTTTTTTTTTTTTTTTTTTTGGGGGTGGGGTGGTGTCTGTGTGTTAAATGAGGGGTTTTGGGCCGGGTGGATCTCATTGATGGGCCATGAATCCTATAAGACACATAATTAATTATTAAAACATATTAAAAATGTACGTGTCAACGCAATGAAACTCACATTTGATGAAAGAAATATGTTATAATTTTTAATAATATGTCTGATAAATTTTAAATTTTAATTTATTAAACATTCTATTATGTAGAGTCTAATCTCAATGTTACATCATTAAGGCAGTTTAAGAGTGATAAATTAAAAGATGTAGTATTATTTTTTTGATGAAAAAAATGAGTAAATCAATGAATAAAAAAAATTCTTGTGGATCCCATCATATTGCCATAAAAATTCTTGGTATTTTTATTTTTAATTTTTTGTAATTTAATGATATGTATGTAAATTTTCTCCTCTAAAACGGGGTAAGAATACAATTTTTAATTTTTTAAGATACGTTTCAATAACCGATAATTGTAATCTTAAATAAATAATATATTAACGGATATGTTGCAAGACAAAAAGATACATACTAAGCAAAATACCCGTACTTTGATATATAATATAGGTTTAAACTTGGTGTGGCGCGTTATATCTAAGGATGAATCTGATTTAGATATTTAAAATTTAGATACTTTTTAATAAATATATATATATATATATATATATTATGTTTGAAGCATTGCTGAATGTAAAATATCGATTTCAATTTGATAATTATTAAGAAAATAGGAAATTATAATAATATATTGCTATGCAAGAGGAATACAAAATAGCGAAAAAAAGTGTTACATAGGATTCCACATTTTTTTTGCTCTCCAATAATATTTTTCATGATTAATGAAAAATAAATTTTTTTGGGAAAAAAATATTTCTTATTTTTAAAAGGCAAAAAATATTTTCTGAACTAAAATTTTACTAATGTCACCACGCTACTAGCACCACTCTCATCCCCATGCCACCATCACCGTCGCCATTACCACTGCCACCTCCATCTTCATTCCACCACCACTACCGCCACCAAATATAGAAAAATATTATCTTCTCTTAAATTTTTGTTTTCTTATTAAAAAATATTTTCCACCCCAAACAAATGGCATAGTAAGCTAATGAATCTTTTTGTGGGTGCTAATTGCAGCATGACGATTGTAGGATGGGTGTTTATGATCTCAGTCGGGTTCAATGCAGCCGCCAGGTCAGCCTTTTTAATCTTCCATTACTTCAATTACATAACATTTAGTGAAAATAAAATATTTATCAGTAGTTTGTTTTATCAATTGTAATGAGAATTTTGTTGATGTTATATGATTGAGCAGTGTGAGAGTGAGCAATGAGATTGGAGCTGGACACCCAAAGTCAGCTGCATTTTCGGTAGTAATAGTGAATTCAATCTCATTCATCATCTCCGTCATCTGTTAGATTTTATGTATAGAGAAATAGAGAGAATGAATTATGTATTGATTTGTTTATTTTCAATAAATACACACACTCCTTTATATATAGGAGATGAGAAGATGCTAAAGCTATACAAACACCATCATAGGAAAGGGACAGAAAGGAAAAGCAGCCGAAAGCATAATGCCGTGAGCAATGAGATTGGAGCTGGACACCCAAAGTCAGCTGCATTTTCGGTAGTAATAGTGAATTCAATCTCATTCATCATCTCCGTCATCGCTGCATTGATCTTGTTGGCGTTGCGACATGTCATTAGCTATGCCTTCACAGACGGTGAAGCTGTGGCTGATGCTGTCTCCGATCTCTGTCCACTTCTAGCCGTTACCCTCATCCTCAATGGAATCCAACCCGTTTTGTCCGGTCAGTATCTGATATGCTAGTTGCACATAATTAAATTAGGAGAAATTACAAGTCAGTGTAGCTTCCCAAAAACAAAATTTATTTTTTATTTTTTGATTTAATGGCGGCCGAGGTCACAAAACTAAAAAAAATAAAAAATGATAGGGGGAACAGATCCTCCTTGCCTATCACTAACCAAAGCCAACTCCACAAACTGGAAGGGGCTGATATCAACAATCCATTCCCATTGCTCATACTAAGTGCTGCTTTTGCTAATAAGTCAGCACAAAAGAAAACAAAATATAAATAAGGGGTAAATCATACTAACTTTAATAAATAAAATTATAGTTTTTTTTTATTATAAATTTGTAAATATTTTTTGAAAACAACACTGTTTTGTAATTTTTCCATAAAATTACACAATGAATAAAACAAAATATAAATAAGGTGTAAATCCCACATATATGTGAGGTCGATATTTGTACATTTTATCTTTGTTGTACAGTTTGATTATGTGCAACCAAACTTTTTCAGTAAACATCATTTCAAAAAATATATAGAAAAATTAATATATGATTCAAATTTATTTTGATTCACACTGAATAATTACACTTAGCTATTTTAAGAAATAGATTAAAAGTTGACTTTTGGATTTTTTTTTTTTTGAAAAAAAGTGCAAAAAAAAAGAAAAAAGAAAAGAGAAATGATATGATATGATCTAAAAGCCAAAAAGTCAAAAAATTAACTTTAACCAACTTTTCAAAATAGTTAAGCGTACTTATTCACAGTGTGAATCAAAATAAATTTGAATCATACATTAATTTTTCTATATATGTTCTGAAATGATGTTTAGTGAAAAAGTTTGGTTGCATATAATCAAGTTGATACATCATGTTTACTGAAAAAGCAGATTTTTAATCAACTTTCCAACTTCCCAAAATGAATCTGAATCACATATTAATTTTTTTGTGCACTTTGATTTGTAAATATTTTTTCTATAACTAAAATAGCAATACTTTATCCCCACAATAAATAAATAATAAAAACTACTTAATTGTTGGACTTCAAACAAATGTGTGTGTGTGCGCGTGTTTTTTTTTTTTGTATATTTTAAATTTCATTCTCTTCTGGTAATTCGGTGCTAACCTTGAGACAAATATATATGTAAACCATGATGAAGGTGTGGCTGTGGGTTGTGGATGGCAATCGTTCGTGGCATACGTTAATGTTTTGCACACTTTGATTTGTAAATATTTTTTCTATAACTAAAATAGCAATACTTTATCCCCACAATAAATAAATAATAAAAACTATTTAATTGATGGGCTTCAAACAAATATGTGTGTGTGTGTGTGTTTTTTTTGTATATTTTAAATTTCATTCTCTTCTGGTAATTCGGTGCTAACCTTGAGACAAATATATATGTAAACCATGATGAAGGTGTGGCTGTGGGTTGTGGATGGCAATCGTTCGTGGCATACGTTAATGTGGGCTGTTATTACATAGTTGGAGTACCTCTTGGTGCAGTCTTTGGTTTTTACTTCAATCTCGGAGCAAAGGTAAACCCAAAATAAATAAATAAATAAATCACATTGGTGGTCCAGTTATCCAAAAAATATATATATATATTGATTCAATAATAATAGTCATATAATTTTATTATGTTTAAGATATAAATGGCCTAATTTCAAAATTGGTCTATTATTTTGATGAATTAAATTTTTATATGAATGATATATATACAAATATTTATAAAAATAAATGATTCAAATTATTAAGGTGAATCCATGATGGGTTACACTACCCAAACAATAGTGTGCAATCCAGATTTGGATTGTTGTTTATCCTTCTTTTTTAAATTATTTAAAAAGTAAAATATATAGTATAAATTTAAATTTGATGTAGTATAGACAATATCAACAATAAATTAATCAACACATTTTACTTTCTGAATTTTTTAAAATAATTTTTTTCTGAACACTCTATTTGTTGTGGTGGGGGTAGGGAATATGGACAGGAATGTTAGGAGGCACAGTTATGCAAACCATAATCTTGATTTGGGTCACAGTCCGAACCGACTGGAATAAAGAGGTAATCTGAATTAATAGACTCCTATCCTCAATTGTTCTTGAATTTCTTATCATCATGATTTTTTTTTTTTTGATTTATTTATTTTGGTTTAAACAGTATAGAGAAAAGCATTAGCTAAAAACGCTTGAAGCTAATCATTTTTAATTTTCATGTGCCATGAAGTGAAAAAAAAAATCCAAAAAAGTCTTCTTCTTTTTTTTAATTTCTATTTTTCCATGATTTTTTTTTTTTTTCCGTGAACCACAACGAATCAAATGCATCAAACTTGTAATGATTAAAAGTAAAAATTCTGGTAAAAAGCCAATAAAAGTACAATGTTATATTTATAGTTTCAATTTGAATTGAAATTGCAGGTGGATGAGGCTAGGAAGAGGTTGAATAAGTGGGGAGACAAGAAGGAATCGCTTCTACAGGGTTAATTTATTTTCTAATAAGGGCCAAATTTAAACTGCCAAAACATCGATAAATGAAACCTAGCATAATTGTCTCAATCAACCCTCCAAGAAGACAGTTAAAGGGAACCATATTTTCCATGCAGGGTTACATTTCTCCTTTGATTAATCAAAATTGGAATTTATGATCCAATTAGTGCGGTCCTTATATATTTAATAAAATTCGTTAAAAAGCCAATAAAAGTACAATGTTATATTTATAGTTTCAATTTGAATTGAAATTGCAGGTGGATGAAGCTAGGAAGAGGTTGAATAAGTGGGGAGACAAGAAGGAATCGCTTCCACAGGGTTAATTTATTTTCTAATAAGGGCCAAATTTAAACTGCCAAAACATCGATAAATGAAACCTAGCATAATTGTCTCAATCAACCCTCCAAGAAGACAGTTAAAGGGAACCATATTTTCCATGCAGGGTTACATTTCTCCTTTGATTAATCAAAATTGGAATTTATGATCCAATTAGTGCGGTCCTTATATATTTAATTTCCATTCTTTAAGGCTGAATATATTTTGGATTTGTGAAAAGAAAAAGTAAGAAGGTTCCAAACATGAGAATATAGACAAATCAAAGTAGTTACATAGAGAGACAGAGAGATGGCACAGCTAGAAATAGGGGTTTTAGAGGCATTTAAAAAATGCTGCTATAGGTCTCAAAAATGCTGTCAACTCTTTTTGTGATGTTTAGCACCAAACGCCGAAGACGCGGCCGTTGCTATAATTTTATGGTGCGTTGCTATATTATTATAGGTAGCGTTTTCTAAAAACGCCGCTAAAAGTTCTACATGACGATAAGATGACGTCACATGATATTTTAGCGACGTTTGAAAAATGCCGTCATAGACATTTATACATTTTAAAAATCTAGCTGTTAGGATTGGGATATAGTGACGTTTAAAAAATGCCGCCATAGCCTTTTTTTTTTAATTTTTAAAATGGTGCTAATTTTATATGGTTGAACTAAAAAAATATCTGTCGTAAATAATTATTAAGAACTAATAATTGATGTTTATTAAAATAATAAATAAACTAAGCTTGGAAACACAATTAAAAATAAGAAACAATATATTGTATATCCAAGAATAAAAACAATTCATGTTAAGACTTTAAATACATCAATTGAAATCAAAATGGTCAATAAAAAGTCAAATTACTTAAACTTCAAGAGTAGCTCTCATCAGTGTGACATGAATAACATTTAAAAGAGGTGATTTGCGAAAAAAATGTGCATAGAACCCCATAAGTTGTTTTAACAATTACAACCTTCAAGGTTCTCATCTTAGCTGTTGTTTTAAAGTGACTTTCACAAGGGTGGGCTACAGGCCAAAGCATTTTTGTGGCATCCAGGGGTGAACCATATGGAGTAGTTGTCAGTTCTAACCAATAAGAAATATACAACTTTGCAGCAGCTTCCAAGTCTTCCACTGAGCACTATTATCAATTGAAGAAACAAGAATTGCAGCAACAAGAAAAAAATAAAAAAATAAACCAACCATTTCAAGCATTAAGAACAATAAGAGAGTGAAAACCGAACCAATATAAATAAGATTGAGCTGAGATCGAGATAAGAGAGCAAAGCATTAAGGAACTATTGCTTTGAATGTCAAGACCGTGATAAGATTGAGATGCAAGATACTCTGCTCCAGATTTAGCTGTTTCCTTGATTATAGATTTGGGGTCCTTGTCGCTCATGAAGAGCCTTCTCTGTTACTTTCACTAAGGCAAGAGTTCCATCTTCATTTTCCTCACTAGTCTCTGATAACCCACATTCAAATATTTGAAATATTAGAAACATTAATTACATTTACCATGTTCCTGTCCTATGTAGAAAAAAACACGAAAAAGGTAAATTTGGGTTATGTATGATTTTATCCGTCTTGCCTATAGAAAAACAGGAAATAAATAAATAAATAAGAGAGAGTTTTCCATCAAGTAAATTAATGGACACGAAAGCAAGTAGAAAAATAAATTATCACGTGGTAAAGATTTCCCCCCTGCCCTTAGAAGAGTGTTTTCTAATCTAAAAACTAAAATGGCCATATCAATAAGGCAGGTGTTACACTTATTTATTTTGATAATTTATTTAATTATATTTTAATTTATTTGAAAGAGAAAAATAGAATTCAAAATTTATTTTAATAATTTATTTAATTATATTTTAATTTATTTGAAAAAGAAAAATAGAATCCAAAATTTATTTTGATTATTTATTTAATTATGTTTTAAATCTAAAATTTATTTTGATGATTTATTTAATTATGTTTTAATTTATTTGAAAGAGAAAAATAGAATCAAAATTTATTTTGTCCCATTATTTCTCACCTAAACTTTTATCCTAAATATTGTTTGAATGTATTTAATATTTGCTTAAATCAAGAGTTCATTTCAACCCAAAAATAATGTCCAAACCAGAGGTTCAAACAGCCTAAAATAAAGGTTCAAACAGCCCAACACAACAGCAGACCAAAAGGTTCAAACAGCCCAGCACAGTATCATGCCAAAAGGTTCAAACAGCTCAGCACAGCAGCAGGTCAATAGGTTCAAGTGGAAGATATTCAAATTAGTAATGATGGAGTGGAAGATATTCAAATTAGTAATGATGGAGTGAAAAATATTCAAATGAATACAATGACTATAAATGACTATAAATTCAAATGAATACAACAGTTATAAACGGCTATAAATTCAAATGATTACAACGGCTATGAATGGCTATAAGTTTCATTATATATACCAAAGCCTCTAATGTAAACAAGTTATAAAAAAAATTAAAAAATATTCTTTGATCTATAATCACGCATATCTATTCTCTGAAAAATTCTCTGAGAAGTGTTCTTCAATTTTTGTTTACATCCTGTTTCAGAAATTATACACTGAGACGTATAGCTTTAAGCCTATCTTTCTTGTGTGAGATTTACAGAAAAACCAGAGCTTCATTTTTAGCTATTTGTTTGGAAGCAAATTCTTTTTTGCATACACGTGCCTTTTGCAGAAAAAACTAGACTAGCAGAAAAGCCATGAGGCCAAACTGATTATAACAAAATGCTGACATTAAAAGCATTTCTTAGTTACATTGTCGACCAATACGTGCTACTTGGAAAGGTTAAGTTGCTTTTCTCATAAGAATACACAAAGAGCTATAAACAAATTTAAAGAAAGATCTAAAGTATAATGCATATTATGGATGATACTACCTCTGAAAGATTAGTAGATTACTAATATGATGGAAAATATCTAGATAAAACATTGGTGCATCTACTAATGATAAAACAAGAGAAGTTACAAAACATGAATAAAACGTGTCTTCCCAATTGGACAATTTGATTCCTTCCGTAAATAATTAATACTATAAAAGCAACCAATATTCAATTGATATGCATTTCCATATAGAATACATAAATCCATAATACCATATGTACATACAAAATCTCTTATAATTTTGTAGAAAATAAAAACTAAATAAAAAATTAAAATTTCTTATAATTCCAAATTCAAAATCTCTTATAATTCCATATAGAATGCATTTCCATTTGTTTTGATCATGTAGTTAAATCAAAACTAAATAAAAAAATTCACTAGGGCTTACTATTGCTTAAAATTTCACTAAGGCCTCGTTTGGCAAGAGGCTATTTTAGCCAATTAGCCAAAAAGTTACTAAATTAGCCAAAAAGCCAACAACCCATACCAAAAAGTTAAAGATTCTATTTTCTTTCTACTTTTTGCACATCTTTTCGTAATTAGCCAAAAAGTCATCCCAAACATACAAGTTTTTTTTACCTACCTTTTTAGCCAAATAGCCAGAAAGTTACTAAATTAGCCTGTTCTCAAACGAGGCCTAAATGTGTAGAAGCATAATCTGTAACAATAAAATCACTACAACTCTTCTATAATTCTGTTAATTATTAAAAAAGCTTTAAAAAAAAATTAAATAAGAAGGGTAGAGTTTTAAAAATTTTACACCTATGATTAGTAATTTTTTAGAAGATAAAGCAATAAAAAAAAACCTAAAAAATAAAGTGTATACAGAGACTTGAGCCACATCAGAGTTTAGGACGTGGTCGACTGACTTTCTTCCTTCTGACATTTCTATATCTAATTTGTAGGCCATTGGGGCTTCTTTTATTCAATTTTAGTTGTGGAACAAGCATGAAGGATATGATAGGATCGTTTCAAATCAAATATTGAAACCATTCACAGGATTTCACAGGATTGATTTCAACAATCAAATCGACATTGCACTATCAGTTTAGCTTGAGAGAGAGAGAGAGAGAGAGGGAGAGAGAGTGTGTGTGTGTGTGTGTCGCTCACCGATTTGAATCGCTAAGATGAACTTCGATTTCGATTTCGATTTCGAGAGAGAGCAACGAAATGATTGAATCACTGATCTGCAATGATCTGTGTAGACACTTAAATTTTCATGTGTCGTGATCACCGTCTGATTAATTAAAGCAAATAAATTTTCTTGATTAGTCGAAATTAAGATGGTCAAAATTTTCAAATGGATATAGGTCCTACTAAAATTGTGGATCTCAACCCATTTTAAATTATGGGTCATGCCAAAAAAAAAGTGAACCTATTTTGACAATTTGGTCAACCCAAATATGTGGGGCCCATGAAAATATTTTATCAAAATTTTAGTGGAATAATTCAAATTTAAATTCAATTTGAATGCAAATCATTCCATAAAATAATAAATAAATTGCTTGTTTCTTAAAAATTAGAGTCAATTTTAGAGTTTCCAAAATTAACCCTCTCCTCTTAAGCCTATAAATAGAGGCTCTCATTAGAGAGATGAGGACACATTTTTTTGGCTAAAAGTCTTGCAAGCTTCTAAGCAATCTGGAGACTTTGCCAAATCTTCTTCTTAAAATTCTCTATAAAGTTCTTCAAACTTAAAAGAAAGGATTATCAAGCACTCCAAACTTGTGGCAATCCTTTCAAGTTACAAATACAAGTTTGGTCTCTATTTTCAAAGAGATCATTTCAAGACTCATTCGAGATCAAGTCGTTCAAGCCCTCGATCAAACCTTTCTTCTCCAAGTTTCTCCATTCAAAGACTTGAAGAAATCCATCAATTTGTTCGATTCAATAACAAGCTTCTACAGCTGTTCAATTGCAACCTATTTTAGAGATCAAATAAGAGGATTTGTTCTTTTGTAGAAGAGCAAACCATAGAGGATTGTACCCATTTGTTATAATCAAATAAAATTAATTATTTGTCGTGTCTTAATTGCAGCTATGAAATTTGTGTTTGCAATCTGAATCGCCGACCTGAAATGACCTGAACTTCGATTTCGAGAGAGAACTTCGAACTTCGAAATGATCTAAATCACCGATTTGTTTCCCTAAGACCGATTTGAATCTATGAATCTAATTAGGGTTTAGACAGCACACATACACATACACACACACACACACAGAGAAGAGCTCACCGATCTGAATCGATTTTGAGACAGTGGAGCTCTGATGAACTTTGATTTTGAGACAGTGGAGTTCGAAA